TTTTCTAGAAAACACTATATTGAACTACTAATCCTGACCATAAAAATGTTGAGGCAGTGAGATTTAGTGCTTTCATTTTTTGGTTTGTTTTTTTTTTTTTGCAAGGGAAGCATAAGGGGAAGGAACACTTAAAGGAACCAGCACAAGGAGTAGACACTTAAAGTAGAGATTCTGCTGTAGTTAAAATAATTCACAGAGAAATTTTCTACTCACCAAGCATACATGGATTTTTCAAACCTGGAAAAACAACACTGATAAAAGTACTCAAAGGCAGGGGCCTGCATATCTTGGGATTCTGCATCCAGAGCTTTCTACAGGACTGTACTTCTTGTTATAGAAATACAGTTTGGATTGTTAGGAAAACCTTCCAAAACAAATGCAGTGTTCTCCACCTGAGAATACACACTGTCTCTTTAAATCAGAGCTCTCTGGTCTGGCAACATCCATGGTCTGGTAGGACCACAAATATTGCAGGACCACAGAACCCAGAGATAGGAAGGTCTGGAGGGCGTGGTAGGGATGATGCTGCAGGGAACTCCAGCCCTGGCAGCCATGAGATTCTTCAGTAGCAGGGCCAGCAGCAGCCATGGAGCTCTGGGGCCAGCCATAGAGCTAGCAGCAGCTAAGGAGCCTTAGCTGGGCAGGTGGCAGGGGGCTGGAGCCTGAGCCTAGAGGCAATAGGCCCAGGAGCAGGCTGAAAGCAGATGGAAAGGGTTGGGAGGCCAATGACAGGATACGTCCTCTGGTCTGGCAAGTCCGTCATACAGGACCGCTTAGGTCCCAGTGTTGCCAGACCAAGGAAGTCCAACCTGTACCAACTAAACCAATAGTTGCATGAGGTATGAAGTGTTCCCTTCATAATGGAAAAGGCTTAAGATTTAGTCATGAGTATTTTTAGTAAGTTATGGACAGGGCACAGGCAATAAATAAAAATTCACAATCTGTGACCGATCCATGACTTTTTACCAAAACCACCCGACTAAATCTCTACTTGTGGGACACCACTATTCACGTTTGACTGCCCCAAGCTATTGCTCAGCAGATGGCCTTCAGGAGCCCATGAGGCTACTGCTCTAGCTGCCCCAGGACCATTACTGCTCTGATCAGCAGGTTGCTACTCACGCAGTCCATATGACCAGCCATATCAGCTGCTGCCCAAGCTGTGTCTGAAGCCAACTGCCCAGGCCCTCCTGAGCCAGTATGACTGGCCCGGGAACTGCTCAAGCAACAAGCCAGAGGTAACTCCAGCAGCAGCTGATGTGGCTGATCCTGTGATTATGGTTGATCTGTGGGGTCTCTGAACAGATGACAGCCCTGGAGTCAACTACACCTGCCACTGTGAAAGTCATGGAGGTCGCAGAAAATCATAATTTCCACAATCTCAGGTGACAGAATTTAAGCCTTAATAATGGTCCAACTCAAAACCTAAAGATTACATTTAAATGGTAATTAACGCCCTAATTTTTGAATCATAATATGCTATAGCTGTCATTCATTTTTCAGATCTTGAAACTGGTATCATGCATGCCATGTTTAATTTTTATTTGAACATTAAAGATAATTACAATTGGAGGGTTCATATTTCCAGCGGCATCTCCATAGTAGATACCACCAAAACAAAACATACATACATTCCACGTGGTTAACAAAACAACACTTTAGTTACTAGAATTACAACTATTTTTTTGTACAAATTTTTGTTTACAGATGACAGTATTGTTACCGGGGTATTTCTGTTAACAGTCAATATAAGGGTAGTACTACATCTGTTTAATTTTAATAGGAATGAAATGAATAGCTGTACATAAAGATAATGTACATTATAAGGTATTCAATCAGCACTCATTCTGGCAAAACGTTCGATATTGAGACTTTATGGATTTGTAGCAAGTTTAATATTTAGCAGTTGTACAAACTTCTTTTGTACAGAATACTTATCCTGACTGGTTCACATTTAACTGGAATATATGAAGAGGTAAGTATTACATATCTTTCCTGTGTACGTTCATGTCACAAGTATGCTTATAGCCACCCATTTTTATTTCATTTGCAAGCTAATATCCATATTTTAGATGTGAAATCCAATCCCTCCAGTTTAAAAAAACATAGTCCTATGATGTACATTGATGCAATTTAAATACTTGTAATTCTTGATGCAAAATTCCTAGTAATTGGCACACTTATTTGCTAAATAATTACTTCCACATCAGCTATTCAGCAATCCAGCTTTCTTCATGTTCTGAAACATTCTGTTTTCCAGAGCATGTTAAATTAAATCATGAAACGGCTGATTGATAAGACAATTGCTCTTCCAAAAATAAACAAGTATTTTACTGCTATAGATGGGTGAGGGAATGGAAGGCTCTGAAGTAAAATATACAGTGCTTTCAAAGACATTCAGAAGGAAATAGGGCTGGCAGGTAAAAATTATTTTTGTAATGTAAGTTAAATAAAATGAACCTGTACCAAACTATTAATGTGAAAACATATAAAACAACAGAACCAGGGATTAAAGTAAAATTAGACTAGTAGTTCAAGTGAATTCAAGTAATCCCTGCAAAAACTCAATCTATAAGAGTAATACCCCTTGGTTAAAAAAATAATTGCTTCCATGAATCTCTGCCATCATTATTTCCACAATAAAACACTATTCCACATTAAGCTTTCTTATTCATTTCCAAAACCAGAGAATTAAACTTCTCATCTCCCCTAAACACACACACATTTGTTATACTGTGCCTTAGTCCACAGTTACCATGCAAGAATATCAAGGCCCAGTGCTGTGACATTCAGTAATCTAGCTGCAAAGAGATGGCATTGCTCCCCCTGTAATTACAATTCTGTTCTTCAAAACAACCAGATGAAAACCAAGGCAAGGCAAGTGACATCTGTAGTTAAAGTTTCTAGATAGATCTGCACATTATAAAGCCAATTATGATATAAATATTGCAACAGTGGACCAGAAACTCTTCCAAAAAATAAAGTTACATTAATAAGGACAGTAAAGATATGCAGCAATTCGTTTCCTTCACTGCTCTGTGAAATTTTGGTGAGTACTTATTTACTATTCTTTCTGGTCCAGGTACATTGCAAGCAACAGAGGAGGGGGGAAGAGGAACAGTGGAACCTTGAGATTGCTCCCCTACCATATGCCTCATCTTCCCCTCCACCACATAAACACCACTTTGGTGAGGAACTTTGAGATATTAAAAGTGACAAGGGACAAAATCATCTCTGCTTAGTTGCACTTGAAATCATTCACTGATGACTGAGCTAAAGGACAAATGAGGAAAATCTGACATTGCATATGTAAATTAAACAGTGTTTGTTTAAATACATCCCTTTGTCCTCAGCCTTCATACATCATGTGTCTAAGATCAACATTCTTCAGGGCAGGGGCAGCGTGTGTGTGTCACTTAAACAGGCCTCTGCAATATCAATGAATTCCTCTCAACTCAGACATCAAACAATACTAAGATATTCTGAAATTACATGAATAGCAAAAAGGTTAAGTTGAAAAATACACTAACATTATATGGGAAAATACAGCATTCATTAGTTGTACTTTCAGTGATATACAGTACCAAAATTGCTATTTTCAAGTCTATCTTCTTTCTTGAACGGAAGCTATTTTAAATTTCACACATGCACCACTCCCTTAAACATAAGTTTCACTGTGTTAATTCGCCCACTAACTGAACTTCACCCTCATTTTTATGGATAACCTCTGTAATAAGAGTTTCATGCTTTCCCTTTTTCTTTCAATACTAGCCATCTATCAAAATTCCCTTCAGTTACGATGCAGCTACGCTACCTAAACTTCTACTGAAAAAAGCCTCACCCCTTCAGATCAGGATGCTGACACTCAAGTAAAATTCACTAAAATCATGATCTGCCAAATGCCAGCACCAAACATGGCCTTCTTAAAACAACTGTGCATGTGTAAGCCAAACACACACATGGTCTGGCCAGGTAATATGGACAAAGCAGAACAGTTTTAGTCCCAATTGAAACCTTGGATAGAACAGCTTTAACCCCACTTTACTCAATCAACACCAACAGCCTAGTTCAGGGTTTCCAAACCTATGGGTCGGGACCCAAATATGGGTCGCCATTACATTTCAAAAGGGGCGCCACTTTTTTTTAATTGCCCTGTGTCACCAAGTCTTCCTGAATTGTCAAAATGGGTCCCCATCTGGAAACGGTTGGGAACCGCTGACCTAGTTTTAGTCACTTTGGCAAGACTGTTGAACACGATTGAATGCCCTATCAAGGCAGGGTATGGGTTCTTTCCAATTAGCGTAACTGATCTCTGGATAACAAAAACTATTTTAATCTAATGCAAAGCTTGAAAGAGTAGGTAAGGATACTACTGGTTCACCTGTTTAAACAGGGACCTTTGAAATACAATATTATCAAATCCTAATCTGAGGTAAAATCTTCCAATATACATGTATGTATATCATACTAAAAATCTAGCATGTCTAAGAATAAAGGCTAATAATATTTTCTATGTCAAATGTTTTGCATAAGAATGAAAAGGAAGAATGTGGCTTGTATCCAAGTGTAATTGTGGGATAATCATATATGTTTGTTTAGAATAATACTTCATGTAGGTAATGTCAAAAAACCTATGCACTTTCCTACAAAAGAACAAATAACATGGTGAATTTTCCAATACACTATTTAAGATTATCTACAAAAGATACTTTAATTTTTCACTGTTTGGATTGAAGCTAAAATGTCCTATGTAAAAGTTAGGAATGTTTGCAATAAACAAACGTTTTTTAATGTCTCCTGATTAACAGTTATGAAAATGTTTTAGCTGAACTGAAGCCAAAATAAAAGACTAAACTGTTAGCTGCAATTACCAGCAAACAAATTTCAGTCAAAAAGGCCACAAACAGCTAAGCTTTACAAAGTATTACCAGGATTGGATTTTATTCTTCAATGTGTTGAAAGCAAATCTTTGTTCTTTAATAAAGTACACACAAAAAAGCCTCACTTAGAATACACTTTTAATGCACATAAAAAAAAGTATTCATCTTACAAATTGTTTTGCAATCCAAATATACAATAGCTTGGAAAACAAATATTTTAGAAAACAAAAGCCAATGTGTAAAAAGACTGCTTAAAACAACTAAAACAGTAAAGATTACTGTATGGCTCTGTCTTTACAGTTTTCTTACTGCATCATCAATATCAGAAATCTGTTCCTTCAGCTGGCTCCACTGTTCTGGATTTAAAGAAATACCTGAAATGCATTAAAAACAAATCCTTAGTGCAGTATGAAAACTACGGTCAAGATTTCATACAGCTTTAACAATATTTGAACTCAAGACAATTTTACTAGGTCAGCAATATTTTAATAAATTATAATGTCAACTGTAGTGTTAGATATTTTATGTAATTACTCATTTATGACTATTCACTGGAATTTTTATATTTAACTTCAGGCTAAGCAAGCAGTTAGTCTGTTTATCGATTCTGTTTAGATATGGGAAGATTCAAATTGGAGCACAGTATTTTTGTAGAAACCCATCCCACATGTTATGAATCACAAGAAGCTACAAATGCAACTCTGATGTACAATCCACTATAACTCTGATACTTACTTTCCCTGTTAAAAATTTAAGCTCTCACCTGTCTGAATTTGGCATGCTTCAAATTCTAGCCATCAAATTGTTACACTTCTCTACTAGAATCAAGAGCCACTTATTAAGTACTTGTTTCCCATATACATAGTCACCCCTTAATCTTCTGTTAAACTAAAATCTGTATGTTAACCATAGAAAGAGGTATTTCTGAAACAGCATAAAAACCACTGCTGCACACCCAGTGTAGTTACAGAAGTGTTTACCATTCTTCTTTCCCACCACACAAAACAGTAAAACATATGCCAAACTTACTCATGCCTCTATGCATGTTTCTTAATACTTTTAGCCCATTGTTTACTTAAGGGGTTAGGCTTTTGTTTCCATTCATTAAAAGAGCAATCTAGGAGCACTTTGGATCCTGTCATAAGTTTTCCCAAAGAAAATAAGATCAGGCCTTTTTGGTACAGGTTGTACCTCTATAAACTGGAACACTCCAGTGTGGCAACATCCATGGTCAGTGATTCCCAGAACACTGTGTGGGGGGCCGGCAAGACCAGTCAGATCCCGAGGGTGCGGTCCAACCTGTACTGAACACAAATTGCACCAACATTATAATTCATGTATACAAGAAAGAGCATAAATACTGCTGTTGTCAGATAACTGTGAACCTCAAACTGGGGGGGGGGGAAGGGGGAGAAGAGATATTTCCTATATACAGGCGGCCCCCGACTTGAGATGCGATTGGTATCCGGGGAAACGTTGCAAGTCGGGACATCATAACTTGAACCCGGTCCAACCTGTACTGAACACAAATTGCACCAACATTATAATTCATGTATACAAGAAAGAGCATAAATACTGCTGTTGTCAGATAACTGTGAACCTCAAACTGGGGGGGGGGGAAGGGGGAGAAGAGATATTTCCTATATACAGGCGGCCCCCGACTTGAGATGCGATTGGTATCCGGGGAAACGTTGCAAGTCGGGACATCATAACTTGAACCCTCATCTACAATAGGTGCCATGCGCCGTCATAAATACAGGATGAGGATATAAGTTGGGGGTTTTCGGCCCCTTCCGCACTTACAACCCCCCGCACTTACAAAAATGGTTGTAACTCGGGCGGGCAGAAGTGTGGGATTTCCTGTAGTTTCATGTTTTGGACACCGGCTAATCTAAGCATATTGCCATGTAGTTTTATCAAGTTTTCAGAGAAGATAAAAAAAAAATCTTGACAGCTTCATTGAAATTGAATTTTTAATTTTGCACTGGAAAATACTATCAAGCCCTTCCAATCAGAAAATATATAGACGGATTTATCAAATTGTCTCAGAGGTGAAAGATTAACAATATTAAGTATTCTAGCATGGGTTTTCAAACTGCTGGTTTTAGCCAAAGCAATTTAGATCAATAGCAGAAAGACAACATTCATAGGGTTAGATTTTAGTTTCATTTCTGAAAGGAAACCTCACTCAGTTGATAAAAGAAACGCTTTCCTCTTAAACTAAATATCACTTAGTTTTTAAGTATGTATACGCTACAGACTAAATTGGCAACACTTATGTCACTCGTGGGCGTGAATATTCCACTCTTGATCAACACAAGTTGCATCAACATAACCATTCACGAGTACAATGGTAGGCTGGAGGAAGAGCTTCTTCCACTGACACAGCTTACGCCACACGTGATTTTTCTATGCTGACAGGAGAGCTCTCTCCCATTGGAATATAGTATCTACACCAGATGCACTGCAGTGATGCATATAAATATACATACCTTGTTCAAGCAGCAACTTACTTTATCCAACAAATTTCCTCAGAAAGTTTGCGTTTGACAAATTTGGTGATTTACATTTCTGATTTAGTAAACATTTGTTTAGTCAAGCTGGATTTACAAAGGGGCTTATGGAATTAAGTGTCTAATTCCCACAAAATTGTAATGAGATTTCGGTGTGTAAGTCATTAGGTTCCACTGAAAATCCTAGCCTGAAACAATACAAGTAAATTGTTGGGAGTATACCAAAACCAACACGTTGGAACATTAGTGCTTGGGCTCTGCTTTCCCAATTGCTGAAGTAACACCGCCTCAATTGAAACTAAGCTTCAATGTGATGTGTGTTAAATCAACAGGAGGTAATGGCAAAATAAGTTTCTTTTTTCAGTTTTAATCAGACTAAATATACAAGAGAAACTGTATTCAAGAAATTTTTTCAGTGCAGTCTTTCATCTGCCACCTGGATTTCGTTCATTGATTGTAAATGAGAGATTTCTTACTTCCTTTACACCCTATCAGTTTCTGAAATTAGAAATAATAGTCTCTATTTAGATGATGTCGTTTGTGCACCTGCAGTGGCTTCTACTCCAGGGAAAAAAAATTCTGAGCTCTGTATCTGTGTGACTGGCCAGCCATTTCTACCAATACACAGGTTTAAATTCACTGAGTTCATCAGCAAATATGCATTTGAGTGGTTCTTTTCCAGCTTTGAAACGTACATATCAGAGCAGCAACATTCATATCATTTAACATTTATAGTGGTAATTTAGATGATAATGCGGGAAAGCAAATTAGACCAAAGAAATACTTTACACATCTACAACTCTGGATTTTGGGTACCACTGAAATGTTTACTGATCCTTGTCAAATTTTTTGAACCATCTCATTCTTTGGAAGAAAGCGGAAAGAAAAATTAGATGCATAGATCAACCAGGCAATCTTCAACAATGATATACCAACTATAAAACATCCCAGAGTTGTTTTGGATGATAAAAATTGCTATTTCTTTGATTGTACATCAAACCAGCATTCTAACAAGTTTAGTTGTACTACTGCTGCCAGGCACATCAGATAGTGGTAATGATGAATCTAACAATACAGAAAGTGGTCATTCATCTCACCTGTATAATTTTAAAATTAATTTCCTGAAAACTTCTTTGACCAATAGATAATGCTGCCCAGTGCTGCCTCGTGCCTTTCCAGAATGTGGAGAGTGACTAAATTTAAACCTCAGAAAACCATGAATTACAAAGTTATGGTTGTGTTGCAGGGATGGTATGTACCTTAACTATCATCCCTCCAGGTGGCAAAAGACACCAGGAATAGCTCCATAATAAATGGTGCCATAAAAAGACATGAGGAAAGTGTCATTGTTTATGTTGTGTTTCCAATATGAATTGCGCTGCCATGATAAAAAAAATTGGAATAGCCATTGCATGTCAAACCTCTATTTTACCCTGAATTAAAATAGTCTAATTAAATCTCTCATGCCTAGCCTCAACCCAAGATGGTTAAAATAAGCTGACAGTTTATCTGTACTCAGATAATTCAAAGTGGTTAGCTTTTCAGCTTCAAACTTTCAATGGATTTAGCCTGCACTGGGAATTTTAACACTGGATATTTCAAGAAATTTAAACTAAAAAAAGTTACAGAATGTATCATGTTTTGCTCAAATGATGTTTATACCAGCAGTATAGTAGTTCAACGTCCTTGTGGTTAATGTTTTACTTCATTTATCAATTGCCTAAATTAGTTCACACCAAATAGCTGGGTCAATTTCAAAACTCAACTGTACAAGGCTGTCAAATCAATATGGATACCTGGGCATCTCCATTACATTATGCCACTTTTGATAGTCTCTCATGGTCCAGTCCCATATCCACTGTAGTCCAACCTAAACCTCCGCTGCTGCAATTTAAGCCCATCGAGGGGACAAGAAGCAAGGGGCTTATACTGCAGCAAGGGATGTTTATGCTGGACATTAGGAAAAACTTCCTAACTGTCAGGATGTTTAAACACTGGAATAAATTGCCTAGGAGGTTGTGGAATCTTTATCACTGGAGATATTTAAAAGCAGATTGGATAGACATCTATGATATAGATGGTGCTTGGTTCTGCCGTGAGGGGAGAGGATTCGACTTGATGACCTCAAGAATACTAGAACTGGAAGGGACATCTAGGGGTCATCAAGTCCAGTCCCTTGCACTCATGTCAGGACCAAGTATCATCTAGATCAATCTTCAAACTCTTATTCAGATAAATTTCCCTGCTTCTTATTATATTCCCACACAGGAAAATAACCCAGAAATATTTAACTTTGTTTTAAAATATATTTTCTAAAATGCAATAAAAAACACTAGCATTACTCACCAAGAGATCCAGAATATTCAGACTGACACAGAAACAGTATCTTCAATGTCATCCTTGGCATGGGTAGCACACTTTTCAAAATGTTGTTTCATTCTTGCTACCAAGCCCTGCATTCTTTGTCACGCTTATACAGCATGTGATCCTTTCTTAATATGTCCAAATGATACAGGAATCTCTTCAAAAATATTCCCATATGGGACTTTTGCATCTTGGAGACATGGTAGATTTCCCCCAAAAATGTTTAGTACTATAACTTACTGGTATAACACTGTAAAAATTAAACAAAATTTTTTCTGCAGAATTTGTATCAAAGCAGCTGTTTCTCCACTTTAGTGTTCTCAACTGAACCCTGTCCAGCTCCAAAACTGGTAATAGGTTATCATGCAGTTTATAATCTCCCATTCTAAGGTAACTTAAAACTATCTGGGGAAATAGGTATTAGTCCAAGCTACAGATTTTTTTTTAATACTTTACCATCTATAGCTTCTAAAGAGATAAAATTCAGATTTGTTTTGATGTATGCTATATAGTGCCTAACTTCAATCCACTGCAACACAAACTTCATTTTTAATTATCAAAATTTAAAGCACATTTTTCAGGCAGATAAGTCACATTTAAACCTAGCTTTGCAACTAAATATTTTTAAAATTCTTCAAGTTACAGGGAGATGTATGCCCCATTCTAAAAAACAAACAAAAAAATGGACTATATCCTCTTTGGCAAAGAGCCAAAATAGACTTTTAGGAACAGAAGATAAGGCATAGGACAAGAGCTGCAGCATGTGCCTTGATTTTCTACCAAAATTAAGGCTTTCCCATTTAAAATATTTTACTTAGAAGAAGTCTTATTAGTTAAGAAAAAAAAGTATAATTGAGGCACATTAAACTTTTGCATTGTAATCAAGAATGACCATATATACACAAGTTTCAAGGTTTCCTTTTTTAGCTGTGAAGTATGAATCTGATATTTTCAAAATTCTCCAAGTTAGATGATTTTCCACTTTCCTCAACAAGGCTAAGCAACATGTATTTTAATATTATGTAACAAATGACACAAAACAGACGTTCACCTTTTCTTCCAGGTTTCATTTCACCTTCTTGATCCATCCAGTATTCTCTAATATCAATTAGGACTTTCCCTTTAAAGTCACGAACGCTGACGTACCTCATTTTGCCAATCTGCCAATAAAGCAAATCAGAACAATTTAAGATATTTTACACAGTACAGAATTATTTTTTTTTTCTTATCAGCATGAAATACTTTGACAAGTCACTTCATATTACTGAAACTTATTTTAGATTTAAGTAGAAATGATTGGATTAAGTATTTTCCTGGAGAATTACATCAGGACTAGTAAATGATGGCAGCATTAATGGATGAAAGACTTTAAACATGTTAAGAGAATTCAATATTATTTCCTGGAAAATGGATGTCCTCAAAAAAAAAAAAAAAAGTCACGTATACCTAAAAAGCTGAATTCTTAATAAATACTGCCAACTTAGATTGCTGATTCTTTCGGAAACAATCCTGCTTCCATATACAAACTTGTTGATGGAGCTAGAAAATGCTAAGAGAAAACAATCCATGCAAGTTTGCTTTCAAGCGATGAGACTAATGAAAATGATATCAGAACTATCACTCCCCCCTGCTCAAAATTTGAACTCATTGCCATGTTTTCAGAAACAAAGAGATCTGTACAGTTTAAACAAACAGAAATCCTTGAACTTATTACTTTTTCCAGTAAATTCAACTGGGGGAGACAACAGGCTCCAAGTACATTGCCTGAAGCTTAGCTCAAAGCTAAATCATCATAGAATTAAATTAGATCAGTGGTCTCCAACCTTTTTACACCCAAGATCACTTTTTAAATCTCAGAACAGGCGAAGCTCTACCGCCCCGCCCCTTCCTTGAAGCCCCGCCCTCTCTATTCTCCTCCTGTCCATCACTTGCTATCCCCAGCCCTTACTTACACACTCCGATAAACAGTTTATTTTTAAATTATGCGATACATACAATTAAAATCACGTGTTTATAGTTATAAAATAAATGGTCTGTTTTTTATTCACGCTATTTAAATATAAAATGAAGCATTTATAGTTATACATTTTGTGGGGACAGAGTACTGTGGCTGGGGGCAGGGGAGAGGGAACAGGGTGCTGGGAGGGCAGAGGACAGGATTCTGCAGCAGGAGACAGAGTGTTAATGGGGACAGAATTCGGGGAGTGGGGACGGAATTCTGTAGTTGGGGACAGGGGAGTGGGGACAGTTCTGTAGCTGGGGACAGAGTTCGGGGAGTGGGGACAGGAATGGGGACAGTATTCTGTAGTTGAGGACGGGGAGTGGGGACAGAGGAGTGGGATGCCAGTGGAGGCAGAGAGTCCCCTGCATCTCCCTCCTCCCAGCATTCCCCGCTCCCCCGGAAACCAGCGCGTGCCTGCCCCGGCCCAGCCCAGGGAAGCCCTGCGCGC